AAGACCTTTTTCTCTTGCACATAACCACTAGTGTCAATAATAATGGCTGGTAGATAAGAAGTGGGACTGTCCACACTCTATCTGGCTTGTGTTTCCTTTGACATGTTTCTAAAATGGTGACTCCTCCACTCCCACCTCACCCCTCATTTTCTTTTTGTGGATGACCTCAGGACCTCACACATGCTTTTCAAGCACCCCTCTACCAAGCTCATCCCATCACCAGGATGGCTTCTTGAAGAACTTACTATTTAGTGGTCATTGGGTTAGCATGAGTTTGGGGGATGAGTTGTCATGTTACCAAAGCATCCTCATGTCATCTGGGTGATGTTCACTCCTTTATTGGCTGTTTCTGTATCGGGTGCTAAGTCATCATGGGAGTGGAGATGTTATGGTGAACATGATGGTCCTGTCTGTCAGGTACACAGGGTGCAGTTAAGGGGTGCTGTACACACAGCTCTGTTATAGGCGCTGTCTGTAGGAATACAAGATGGTGGGTGGGTGTGTGAATTGGCCTCCTTCATGGCTAACAGTGGACACTGAGGCACATGGGATATGGTCCTGAGTACATAGCCACCTCGGTCCAACTCTCAGACTGGCTCCTTTCCTATGTTTTCATAGACAATTAAGCCTTGGCTCAAACAGGGTTTATGGATCTTCTTGACCCTCATGCTCAGTGATATTTTATTAACCATAAAGGCTAATTTTAATGAGGGGCTAAGGTGTTTACATGGTGAGGGCCTCATGGAAATTTGTGAGGGACTAGCATCTTCTCTTGTCACCTGTCACCCCTGTGGGGAGTGGAGCTGGTGTCAGCACTGCCTGCCTTTGCTCTTCTCTCCCTTGGTCCCGAGACTCCTGGAATAGGCTGCTGTGGGTCAAGTGCTTGTGACACCTCCCCCATGCTCTTGTGACTCTTCTTGAAGTGTTGGTGGGTTCTGGGAAAGGAATGTTTCTGGTGGGAGGCCGGATGTCGAGCCAGTTGGCAGGCCGCTTGGGTTATCCGGAACAGCTGTGTTTTGACTATCATGGGCTAGGAAATTTCAGGAGATGAGGGGCCTACTACTGCTTGTTGGCCTTCATGATGGAAACTGAGTCCTTTGAACTACGTAACACAGGGGTTCTGTTCATTTCAACAGTCTTTCCTTGGAGACACTAAATCACCTTGCCTAGAATAATATGAAAAGTATAATTTGTGAGAAAGTGAACTTAGGTGGATATTAGGAAACTAGTTGTCAACAATCTAAAATATTTCTTTGATCTTCTGAAGCCTTTTTTCCCCTTAATTTATTTAACTTTGTTTTATGTGAATTGGTGTGAGCGTGTCAGCTCTCTTTGGAACTGGATTTACAGATAGTTGGGAGCTGCCATGTGGGTGCTGGGAATTGAACTCAGGTCCTTTGGAAGAGCAGCCAGTGTTCTTATCCACTGAGCCATCTCTCCACCCCTTCTGAAGCCTGTTAAGATGCAAACCCTTTGAAAATTCATTTCACTTTTAAGTGAGCTTTCAGGGGATGTGCTTTTATTCCTCTGCTCTTTTGTTTCTTATGGGTATTTTGGCATCAGGATGTGCTGTTGTCTAGAGATGACGGACTGCATCATCAGGGATCAAGGGCACGTGGTTGTTCGGAGGACAGAATTCTTACTCTTACCTCACTTAATCTCAGGGCAGGCATGCTGCAGTTGCTTTCCTCCCACCCCCATTGGTTCTCTGCATTAGGGTAGAATGTAGTATCTTCATGTGTAAGTGAAAACTAGCTTTAAAAAATTAACTAATTTAGTTTGAGTTACATGGCTTGTAAGTGAGTCTAGTTTGGAATCCAGACCCTAGTTTGAATGACACACACACACACACACACACACACACACACACACACACACACGGAGGGAACAAGGGAGGGAGGGAGGGAGAGAGATCTTCATTCTGAGTTGAGGGAAACTGGACTTTCACAGTCAAAAGATGTGTGGGGAGGGGAAGACAGGAGGTCTGCAGAAAGCCTGTTAAATTCTGTGGTAGGGATCTTGATGGTGGTGGTGACTGAGATGAGGTCTCACTATGTCTCCCAGGTTGGCCTTCATTTTAGGATCCTCCCAGCCCCACCTCCAGAGTGCTGAGGTGACAGGCGTGTGCCACCGTGGCTGACTTGATTAGATCTTGATGGTGCTAATAAGCAGGTGCTTTTTGGTATGTATTCAAATCAAGGAAGATTGAGCAGTAACCAGCTCTACATATGTAGGATGCTCGTAAACTGTGACTGATACTCTCAGAGTCACTAGAGCGACAAGGACAGTTTCCAGGATGAGGTGGCTTTGGACCTGAGGAGTGGAATGCCAGAGATGTTATTTTGGTATCTAGTATGGGGAGTTTTCTCAGCCAGCCCAACCAGCCTTGTGATCTGAAACTCTCTGCCCATACAGGGACTCATCTTACAGTGGAGTTGTAAAAAGAGCCTGAGTAGCTCTGGATTTTGTGTCTGGTGTTTTCTGGGACTGTCTGCTGCTTCATGTCCAGAGAGAGGCGGTAACCCCATCCGACTGAGCACTAGTAGAACAAAATCGCAAGAGCCTAATTATGAAGTTCTTCCCTTTGCTGCAAATGAATCAAAACATGGGAGTGCTTAGAGCTGTGTTTGTGCTTCCTGGGTTGGTAGATCCATTAATGTGTGTGACTCTTAGCCTTAGAAGCCACTTGAGCGTTGTCTGCAGGACTCTGCTGCTATCTTCTGAGTGAGGCCATCCTTGGTGGACAGGCTTTCCTGTTCGTGGGAGTCTTCTTTTAAGCATCTCAGAGTGGAGCTGATCCCTCCCTTGGGATTACAGATGCATTGAGGAGGGCTGAGCAGAAAGTCCATAAGGATCCCAAAGGCTGGTCAGGCCATAGGAAATGGGTCTTTGAGGAGAGGCTGATCTAAAGGATGGATAGACGGATAAAGTCAAGTGAGGATATGGAAGCCACCTAGCTGGCTGAGCAGCTTCAGCGTATCAGTGTGGAAGTGGGAGGTGCTGTCAGGAGCCAGTGAGTGTCTTCCCACTGGTGTGATGTTTCCACATGACCTGTGTCACTGCCTGATGAGATAGTCTTGAGATTTTGGGTGGGGGTTGTTGCTTGCTGTGTTTTCTCCTGGAAACTATACTTCCAGTTGCACAAGAACCTTCTTCTCAGGACTAGGAAGGTCAGGCCCCTCAGCCCTCATTCCACTGAATTCCATCCATTGGCTATACTGGTTGAGTACCCACATGTCTACTATGTATCTTTAGATGCAGCTTCTTTGAGTTAATTCATCCCACTGTACTCTCTCCTGGCTTGGCCTTACCGTTTCATTTGTGTGTGCACTGTTTTGTTTGTTGAGAATGAGGCTAGCCACTATCAAAGCATCCCTCCTATTCTCGTAACTTCTCCAGTAAGCAATCACTGGGGTGGTTAAACTTAGCTCAATTTTATAGCGCTCTCAGATCCCAACCCAAAATGTATTCACTTAAAAATTCAAAAGGCCCATGAGGAGGGCACACAGAGTTCATCTTGGGGTCAGTCACAGAACCCTTTCTTGTTTCATAATTTATACCTTGACATTAGCACATTTTGAAGTCCAGTGTAAGCATATGTGTGTTGGTAAAGGGCTGTCAGTATCTTGCTGACCTGTTTAGCGGTAACAATTAAAAGCAAGCATGCCAATTTTTTTTTAAATGCACATGATGTCAGGTTGAAGAAAGTCAAGATGAAGAGTCCAAACCACCTATCAGTTAGACCACCGATTGTGCAATAGTCAGAGTTTCTGTACCCACGGTCTATGGAGATCCAAGGGCTCGGGGGAACAGGTGAGAGGCAGGGAAGGAGCTCAGTTTTTTCTCAGCTGGCAGTGCCCTGGAACGTGGACATGTTTTTCTCTTGTTTCTTGTGTTGAGATACTGCAGGGACGTAGGGGGAACAGCAGTGATCACACGAATCCTGCCTTGCTCTGGTACGCTGGGATCTATTTCCCATCATTCTTCAGGAGCAGACCTCCCTCCTCTTTTGGGGAGCCCTTTGCATTAATGATCTGATGTGGCTTTCACAAAGCCATATTGATATGTTAGTGTGTGGCCAGCAGGGAGTACTGGATTAGATCATTTTCACCTCGGTGTCAAGCCCGTGTGACATTTGTTTAGAAAGCGTATCCCCTTGTGACTCTAGGGGGCGTGTATAATTGAAAGGGAATGCATTTACATTTTGGAGAAAGATTTCTTCTGGTTCTCTTATCTTCAGTGCCCAGAAAAATTAAGGATCACACTTATCATGTGATCAGGAATTCCGATATGCTATAGGACCAGCTGCTGCCCCATGGGGATAGGGACATTTCCATTAGAGTGGCAGGTGTAGGAGTGGACAGGACTGGTCTCTGCTTCATGCAGGGTTAGAGTTTAGGTCCCCGACCTAGTGACCTGACTCCACTGAGTAGGAGCCCTGAAGATCAGTGCTCTGGGTCTAAGTGGGCTGGTATCGCTGACTCAGTTGGATGAGCAACTGCAGTACTAAATCTCATTTCTTCTGTCCCCGATTCTTGCATCTTGATGATTTTCATTGGAATGGTTTGATATTTCCCTTATGGTATCAATTTCTAGAGTGAAGCCGACGTCATTTTACGTTATTGTCTCATAAACTCATTCCGCTATGGCGGTTTGACTACCCCTGAGCACAGTGCTGCTTGTAGGGTACAGGCACTTAGTAAGAGGTTCTTATGTGAGCCTCGCAGAAAGATGTGTAGCTCTGAGTGAACGCCATCATTGCTGAGAATTTCCTCTCATCTGGGGAGATTACCCAGCTTCAGTAGGCCATTAGTGTTTTTGTAGGGTACTTAACAGGACACACAGTGAACAAAACCACCTGGCATCTCAGAATTCCGTATTCTTTCCTGAGAGTTACTGTCCATGCAACACTAGCGACCCAAGGACCTACAGTACCGCTTGTAGGAGCAACGTGTTGAAGGTGATCCCACCCATACACTGTTTTATGATTTCTCTTTTAGGTTTGTTTTCTTGAAAAGGCTCCAGGCTTCGGCTTGGAAAAACCAACCGCCAAAATTGAGCCCAGCAGCTGGAGCGGCAGCGAGAGCCCTGCCGAAAACATGGAAAGGATGAGCGACTCGGCAGATAAGCCGATTGACAACGATGCAGAGGGGGTCTGGAGTCCTGACATCGAGCAGAGTTTCCAGGAGGCCCTAGCTATCTACCCGCCCTGTGGGAGGAGGAAAATCATCTTATCAGACGAAGGCAAAATGTATGGTAAGTGGCCTGGAACATTCCTTTCAGGGACTGCAACCTGCCAGGGTACATGTGTGTTCTCTGAAGCCAGCTGTGGATGCTCTTTAAAGAATGACAGTTGGATATCCCCGAGACCACAGCTCCACTGCAGAGGAGTGTTGATAAGGGATCATGGGATATCATCCCTTGGGATTTTCTCTTTCTTTGTGCTTGACATGCCTCCTGGCAGACGCTCTCAGGCTCCAGGTGCCACGGTGGCATACATGCAGGAGGGGACAGGTTCTTCAGCACACACCCTTATCTCATTGGAGCATCGCCACTTAGTTCTGCATAGCTGCCCTCAGGAATGGGACCAAGTCTCCTGCATCCTTTCCACCCGTACAGGAGGAGCCTGTGATTTGGATGCGTATATGAAATCTGTTCTTACTGTCTGGGGATGTAGCTCAGTTGGTAGACTGCTTGCCTAACAGCACAAGTCCCTACATTTAATTCACAGTACTTGGGAAACTAGGCATGGTTGTGCAGGCCCTATAATCCCAGCACTCAGGAGTAAGAGGCGGGTAGACCAGAAGTCCAGGGTCTTCCTCCCTCCACTACACAGAGAATTTTGGTCATTCTGGACAGTATGAGGCCCTGTCTCAACACAGTGCCCCTCTAAAAAAATACTGAAATCCTCCCGCCTCAGTAAGTACCTGTGCTGCTCAGATAGAGCACACGCGTGGGCTCGATCAGCTTGAGACTTGCAGTTGAATGGCTGGTTGAGCCGCTGCTTTCATGCATCGGTGTCCCCGCCCACACTGCCTCCTTTCCCTCATGCATGTGTGTACCCCAGCCACCAGCTTCCCCTGCCCTGGGGAGTGTCCTGTGGCTAGGTTCTGAAGGAAGCTGGATGAGGGTGAGGAAGGCAAGCCCGGCTTTCCACAGGGGTCCGGATGCCAACAGCAGCAGGAGCAGCAGCGTGTGTCCGTGCCTCTAGCCAGTCAGAAGCTTGCCTCCACAGGGATGGGACATTCTCTCTTCCTCCCCAGAATGTTCCCAGCTGCAGGCTTGCAGTTTTTGGCTACCTACCTTCAGGGAAGCAGACGGCAGGTGGCTGCCTGTACATAGTGCTTGTCTAATTGAATTGACAGAGTTTGTGTTGTCACCAAGTCTAAAGAGATGCAACCAGCATAAATTCCACGAACACCGGCTCATCAACTGCCCGGGCCTATTAATTCAACAGAGGAGTGATTTATTCCTCAGTAATTCCCACTATTTCTGTAATAGGGTGTTGCACCTTTAACCCCGCGCTTCTCCGTCAGGAGCCGGAGGAGGCTGTACTCAGTCCAGCGACGGCTGCTGAGAGGGAAGCAGATGGTGGCACAGCTGCCACCAGCTGTGCCCCGCCTGCCCTCCCCCTTCACCACGGATGATGTAATGGAAACAAAGACACTTTTGCTTTCTGTGGCACGGAGCCTCTCAGCCCGCCGTGCACTCGGGAGTGAAAACCCAAACTTGTGGCATTTGTTTTATGTTCTTGTGAGTTCTGCTGTGGTCAAAGAATCCTCTTTTTATCTAGGGTGGTGAAGTCGGGCCGACACCACTCAGCTGCTGTGGGTGGACAGTTTCAAGGCCTCAGGTGTCCTGAGTCCTTTCTTTCCCTGGCTTCCCCTTCCTTGCCTTTCATTTGAAAATGACTTTGTTGTGTGTGGTGAAGCGTAGCTCTGGGCCATTGTGTTGTGCAGCTCTCACTCGTTTGCTCAGAAATTGTTCTAATCTAAATTAATGGCATAAGGCAGATTCAGCAGTTTACGCCTGAAACTCCAACACTCAGGAGGCTAAGGCAGGAGGGTAAGTGAGCGCTCACAGCCAGCCTGGGCTGTGTAGGGAGACCATCTCTCCTTTGTGAAGAGTTCACCACCGCACACTATGCCTGTAACTCCACTGTAAATTTCTAATGTGGAAATGATTTGTAAAGATCTCTTTCTGGGAACGGAACCATAGGAAGCTTCAGATTTGATTTGTTCTATCAGCAACTAACCTGGTCACTTTTGCTTTTGGTGTTAGTCTAGTTTTGGGCTCCTGGGAAAGATAGTCAAATAAATGACGATCACAGGTCCTTGGGGACTTGGCGTGTTGGATGCTGTTGTTTTGGAGTGTGGAGCACAGCAGGGTGAATAGACACTTGTAAGTTTGAGGTTGGCTATGGGACATGTCTGTATGATCAGGGCAACTTGGTTCTCAGTACTTTCCAGTTGTGTCTATTGTTGAATATAGGTGTCTTTTTCCTTAAGTCAGCACTATCTGATAACTGTCTGTGTTGGTGGCCAGCCAGATTTAAAATGAGGCAAACCTTTTGAGTGAGCAGCCTCAGGAATCACGACCTACTGGGGACAAAGAGTCTACTACTGGTTGTGGGTTTCCCAGGGCAGCAGAGGGTACACAATCTATAGGAGTTTGTTTCCTGCTTGGGGAGGAAGAGATGGGTTTTCTGCACCAGGCATACAATATCCTGTCCTCTCCAGGGAGAAACGCTCTCCTCAGCTCCCTGTCTTTGTGCCTTATGATAGAATGCCTTTTGCCCTCTTGGAGGGAAGTGTGGTAGTTCCTGGGCTAGGGGAGGTGGAGACTGGATCTCCCTTCCTGGGAGCTGCCTCTGCCTTGCCAGAGACTATGAGATTAGAGAAAATTGACTCTCCACAATGCTCTCTCAGCCAGTTGGGGACATTGTCATGTGACTCAGTGTGAGGCCACAGTCACTCTTTGTGATTAAGCTTTTGCTTTCACATACATTGAATCTGAACATAGTGAGACCAGGAATCAGCAGTCCCTGAGAACATCCTCCTTCTCTAGGAGCTTTGAAGATAAATGCACGGAAAGTATCTGAGAATCTGTGCAAGTCAGTCAAAGTCACATCCGAATGAAACAGCTGGTGTGTTTCCCTTGAGGATGCCATTCTCCTATTTCTGAGGTTTGTGGAGTTCTTTGTGATGTCACCTATCCCGAAACATTGGAAGAAGCAAGATCAGGTGATTTTGGTAATGAGATTCTCATCATGGTTAGCAGGAGAGGAAGTAGAAAGAAAGTTCCTTATGATAAGCTTTCATCCCATGGAAGAGAGGTGGCTTAGTTTTCTGCTACCTTGGATATAGCTGAGGTTATGTAGCTGCCTCTTGTGCCTGGGCATGCTCTGTTTGCCCTGACATACAGCACTTGCTCTCAGGATTGCCTCTAACTTTGCTCTAAAGGAACAGACCTTCCTCTTTCGCTCTGCCTTTCATTTTTTTCATAGCTATGTGTTTCGTTTTCTGGTAGGTTGTGGAGGAGGATGGGATGGGAGGGAAATTGTTAGTGAGCATGAACATGCTTGTCTGAAATTGATTTTCAGGGGAGTACACCAGAGTTGAAAACAAGCACCCCCCCCCCACACACACACACACAAAAGAAGAAGAAACAAACAATGATCCATGGGAATACCTGTGTCTGTTTCCTCTGTAACTGAAAACAAAGTCTGGTAGTGTGGTCAGATGTCTTTGGAATCCTACAGGGGCTGGGACAGAAACTAGTTTACAGTGATTGTCGGCCCTACAGGCAGACAGGTGCAGCACTTTCGCAGTTTAGACTGTGTAATTAATAGGAATCCTGGCCCAGTACTTTTAGGTCCCAGGCTTCTGGCAAGTTGCCTTAGTTCTCTGTGTTTCAGTGCCCGAAGCTGCAAAGGAGAGTGTTAAATAGATCCAGCTTCAGAGGATCGTCACAAAAATTAACTGAAGCAACTGTGATCTGGGCTTGCCCACCATGCTTGAGCATCTCACATACAGTTGAGTGTGAACAAAGTGTGTGTGAACTGAAAACAAAACAGAAGTTTCTGCCTTGTCCTACTGAAGGCTTTGTACGTTATATCCAGCTGACATTCCAAGGACACCCTGAGGTGCTGTAAGGAGGGGGCTGGGCGGCTTCAGGTCCACGTCTGTTTAGCTCTCCGAAGCCTGTGCTATACCCATTGTGCTTTCCAGTCTTCCTTGGTAGGAGCCAGTGCACATCAATCCATCAAATCACTGTTGAGCACCAGCTGTTTGCCAGCCTTATGCTTGGGGTTGCCAGGATGAGTGCAGGGATGCAGACAGACACAGTCAGAGTGCCTGCCCTCATGGAGCTGTCACAGGTTCATTTGCCGACAGCTGACCTGAGATCAGGGCTGGGTGCCAAGGATTTCTGGGAAGTCTGAGGACGCTTTGAAGATGGTCACCTTCCACTCAGCCTTTTGAAGCCTGTTCTTGGCTACTAAAGTCCAGGACACCTGGTCTGCTGCTGGCAGGAAGAGAACTCAGCAGGGAGGGCCCAGATCACAAGGCTGGCCCCGGTACTGGCCAGGAAGATGTCTGGAAGGTTCTAGTGTCCTAGGGCGCTGCTGGCTGATTGGGCATAGCCACTGGTAGGCAATGGCTTTCTCCTTCTGTGAGCAGGTGCCTGTACCCTCTTTCTTGAGAACAGCTGGATGGGAAGTAGGGAGATACCCCTCCCCATTTTTGTTTACATTGTTGTTGATACTTTTTCTGTTGTGCTGGGTATTGAACCCAGGATCTCATGCCTGCAAGACAGGATTCTGTCAAGTGGTCTATATTCCTAGCTGTATGTGAGGGGCGGTTTCCTTGCTGGGATGCTAGGCCTGCTGCTCAGTTCTGGAGAGCTGGCTAGTTCAAGAGGACACGGAAGATGCATGTGTGTGTCTTCCTCATTGCTGACCTGTGCCTTGCCAGTCATGAGCAGGCTTTGCGATTTCCTGCCTGCCTGTTTTTCAAGAGGAAGGGGCTTGCTTTTTAGTGAGTACGGTGAGTACTTGCTTTTTAGTGATGCCCCCTCTGACCAGGGGCATCAGAGTATACATGGGTGAATACAACTGTGTGCCAGTCAAATAGCTGGCGGGTCCAGTGCTGTTAGTCCCTGGGTGCTGCCCAGCCCTGAGAACTGTTTAAGGAGGCAGGGCTGTCTGCTTCCACAAGCAAATTACTCTCATGGTTCATTTTTGGGATGAGGGTGGT